TCAGGTCTCTATCAGGTCTCTATCAGGTCTCCATCAGGCCTTTATCTGGTCTCTATCAGGTCTCTATCAGGTCTCCATCAGTTCTCTATCAGGTCTCTATCAGGTCTCCATCAGGTCTCCATCAGTTCTCTATCAGGTCTCTATCAGGTCTCCATCAGTTCTCTATCAGGTCTCTCTCAGGCCTTTATCTGGTCTCTATCAGGCCTTTATCTGGTCTCTATCAGGTCTCTATCAGGTCTCCATCAGGTCTCCATCAGTTCTCTATCAGGTCTCTATCAGGTCTCCATCAGGTCTCTATGAAGTCTATACCAGGTCTCCATCACGTGCATATCAGTTCTCAATTGGGTTTATATCTGGTCTGCATCAGTTCTCTATCAGCTCTTCATCAGGCTTTCAGCAGGTCTCCATCAGGTCTCTATCAGGCCTTTATCTGGTCTCTATCAGGTCTCTATCAGGCCTTTATCTGGTCTCTATCAGGTCTCTATCAGGCCTTTATCTGGTCTCTATCAGGTCTCTATCAGGTCTCTATCAGGTCTCCATCAGGCCTTTATCTGGTCTCTATCAGGTCTCTATCAGGTCTCCATCAGTTCTCTATCAGGTCTCTATCAGGTCTCCATCAGGTCTCCATCAGTTCTCTATCAGGTCTCTATCAGGTCTCCATCAGTTCTCTATCAGGTCTCTCTCAGGCCTTTATCTGGTCTCTATCAGGCCTTTATCTGGTCTCTATCAGGTCTCTATCAGGTCTCCATCAGGTCTCCATCAGTTCTCTATCAGGTCTCTATCAGGTCTCCATCAGGTCTCTATGAAGTCTATACCAGGTCTCCATCACGTGCATATCAGTTCTCAATTGGGTTTATATCTGGTCTGCATCAGTTCTCTATCAGCTCTTCATCAGGCTTTCAGCAGGTCTCCATCAGGTCTCTATCAGGCCTTTATCTGGTCTCTATCAGGTCTCTATCAGGCCTTTATCTGGTCTCTATCAGGTCTCTATCAGGTCTCCATCAGGTCTCTATCAGGTCTCTATCAGGCCTTTATCTGGTCTCTATCAGGTCTCTATCAGGTCTCTATCAGGTCTCCATCAGGTCTCTATCAGGTCTCTATCAGGCCTTTATCTGGTCTCTATCAGGTCTCTATCAGGTCTCTATCAGGCCTTTATCTGGTCTCTATCAGGTCTCTATCAGGTCTCCATCAGGTCTCTATCAGGTCTCTATCAGGTCTCTATCAGGCCTTTATCTGGTCTCTATCAGGTCTCTATCAGGTCTCTATCAGGTCTCCATCAGGTCTCTATCAGGTCTCTATCAGGCCTTTATCTGGTCTCTATCAGGTCTCTATCAGGTCTCTATCAGGCCTTTATCTGGTCTCTATCAGGTCTCTATCAGGTCTCTATCAGGTCTCCATCAGGTCTCTATCAGGTCTCTATCAGGCCTTTATCTGGTCTCTATCAGGTCTCTATCAGGTCTCTATCAGGTCTCCATCAGGTCTCTATCAGGTCTCTATCAGGTCTCCATCAGTTCTCTATCAGGTCTCTATCAGGCCTTTATCTGGTCTCTATCAGGTCTCCATCAGTTCTCTATCTGGTCTCTATCAGGCCTTTATCAGGTCTCTATCAGGTCTCTATCAGGCCTTTATCTGGTCTCTATCAGGTCTCCATCAGTTCTCTATCAGGTCTCTATCAGGCCTTTATCTGGTCTCTATCAGGCCTTTATCTGGTCTCTATCAGGTCTCCATCAGTTCTCTATCAGGTCTCTCTCAGGCCTTTATCAGGTCTCTATCAGGTCTCTATCAGGTCTTCATCAGGTCTCCATCAGTTCTCTAGCAAGTCTTCAGCAGGTCTCTATCAGTTCTCTGTCAGGTATTCACCAGTTCTTTATCTTGTCTTCATCAGTTCTCTATAAGGTCTTCCTCGGGTCTCTATCAGGTCTTCAGTAGATCTTCAGCTGGTCTTAATCAGGTCTCCATCAGGCCTTAGACAACGCAGCTCCTTTGAAAATGAAAACCGTTAAAAATAGAAAGCTTGCTCCTTGGTTTAATGCAGAGCTGCGTACTTTGAAGCAAAATGCTAGGAAACTGGAGAGAAAATATCGCTCCACAGGCCTGCGAGAGTCCTTCCTAGTCTGGAAAAATGGTTTACTGCTGTATAAGAGGACCCTTTGTAAAGCAAGAGCAGCATACTTCTCCTCATTAATAGAGGAGAATAAGAATAATCCTAGATTTCTTTTTAATACAGTTGCCAAACTCACCCAGAGCCATAGCTCTGTTGAACCGTCCATTCCACCTGCTCTTAGCAGCAATGACTTTATGGGATTCTTTATAAATAAGATTGATCTTATTAAAAATAAGATCATAAGCACTCCTCTATCCGCGATTGTACCTGAGGTAGTCATGGAATCTGAACTGGGTTTAGACTGCTTTGATCCAGTTGAACTCTCTGAATTAGCAAAATTATTGTCTTCATCTAAGCCTTCAACTTGTATGTTAGATCCAGTTCCAACCAGGTTATTTAAGGAGGTATTCCCTTTGATCTCCTCCTCCATTTTAGATGTGATTAATCTATCTCTGTTACAGGGATATGTACCTAAAGCTTTTAAGGTTGCTGTAATTAAACCTCTGCTTAAGAAACCGTCTCTTGACCCAGATGACTTGGTCAATTATAGACCTATATCCAATCTTCCTTTCTTATCCAAAATTCTTGAGAAAGTAGTTGCCAAACAAGTTTGCGATCACTTCCACCATAATGAACTTTTTGAAGAGTTTCAGTCTGGCTTTAGAGCTCATCATAGCACTGAAACAGCTCTGGTGAAAGTCACTAATGATATTCTCATGGCCTCAGATAATGGACTTGTATCTGTGCTCGTCCTGTTGGATCTTAGTGCTGCATTTGATACAGTTGACCATAATATTCTTTTAGAAAGACTTGAATATTTTGTTGGAATTAAAGGAACAGCACTAGACTGGTTTAAATCTTATCTATCTGATCGAATTCAGTTTGTTCATGTTAATGATAGATCTTCAACACGCTCAAAGGTTACCTGTGGAGTACCACAGGGATCAGTGCTAGGACCAATTCTCTTTACTTTATACATGCTCCCAATTGGTAGAATTATTAGACAGCATGGGATTAATTTCCACTGTTATGCTGATGATACCCAGCTATATCTGTCTATAAATCCAGATGAAGCTAACCCATTACATAGATTACAGGCATGTCTTGAAGACATAAAAACCTGGATGACTCTTAACTTTCTGCTTCTGAATGCAGACAAAACAGAAGTTATAGTCTTTGGACCAGAGTCTCTGAAAAAGAAACTGATTAGCCAGTCACTTCATTTGGATGGGATTAAACTGATTTCAGATAATAAAGTAAAAAATCTTGGTGTTGTTTTTGATCAGGACCTGTCATTTAAATCCCACATCAAAGAGGTTTCTAGAATTTCCTTCTTTCATCTGAGGAACATTGCAAAAATTAGAAATATCCTGTCCAGGGGTGATGCTGAGAAACTAGTCCATGCATTTGTTACTTCAAGGCTGGACTATTGTAATTCTTTACTATCAGGAAGTCCACAAACTGTAGTTAAAAGCCTTCAGCTGATCCAAAATGCTGCAGCCAGAGTTCTAATGAAAATTAAAAAGAGAGATCATATCTCGCCTATCCTGGCTTCTCTTCATTGGCTTCCTGTTAAATGAAGAATAGAATTTAAAATCCTCCTTCTCACATATAAAGCCTTAAATGGCCAAGCTCCATCTTATATCAGAGATCTGATTGTTCCTTATGTTCCTAACAGAGCACTTCGCTCTCAATCTGCAGGTTTACTAGTGGTTCCTAGAATTTCTAAAAGTAGAATGGGAGGCAGATCTTTTAGTTATCAGGCTCCTCTCCTGTGGAACCAACTACCAGTTTTAGTCCGTGAGGCAGACACCCTGTCTACTTTTAAGGCTAGGCTTAAAACTTTCCTTTTTGATAAAGCTTATAGTTAGAGTGGCTCAGGTTATCCTGAGCTATCTCTATAGTTATGCTGCTATAGGCTTAGACTTTTGGAGGACATAGGGACCCCCATTTCATCATTCTGCTTCATTCTCTCTCTGTTCTCCTATTCTGCAGAATCTGTTAGTTCAATCTCTAACCTTCTGCTCTCTCTGCTTTTCCTCAGAGTAGCTTTGCCTCGTCTGTTCCTGTTTGGCTGTGACATCATCCTGGAAAGAAACATCAGCTGTGCTGCTTCTATCAACACCCTTGTTTATAGATGTTGGAGATCGGCCTGTTTTCCAGTGTGGTCCTGTTTCTCTGACCGTGACTGAGTGGATGTGCTTTCTTCGTCCTCTGGCATGGGAGCTGCCTTGGAGCTCGTCTGCCTGGCTGTGTGTTTCCTGGACGGGGCCGCCTTTTACAGCTGCTTTTTGTATCTCTGCTTCTGTCTCCTTGAACCCCAGTCGGCCTCGGCAGATGGCCGCTCACACTGAGCCTGGTTCTGCTGGAGGTTTCTTCCTGTTAAAAGGGAGTTTTTCCTCTCCACTGTCGCTACAAGCATGCTTAGTGTGGGGGATTGTATTTGAGTCAATGAGTCAATGCAATCAACTGGTTTTCCTTAGATAGAAAACTTTGTATCAATTTGATCTGGTTGAACTGTAAAGTGCCTTGAGATGACATGTGTTGTGAATTTGGCGCTATATAAATAAACTGAATTGAATTGAATTGAATTGAATTGAATTGTTCTTCACCCTCCCTCAGCTCTGGCTCCACAGACGGTATTTATTGTCATTGGTGGTTTTAGTTTTTTTTTATTATCTTTGCTTGAATGATGTGTTTGATCAGAGATGAAAAGAGGCACTGTGGGGGTGTTGGGGTGGGGGCACTCTGAACATGTATCGCCCATCACTGCCTTGACTGCCTCCTAGCCACACCTATATTCCCTCATCCACATTTTGATTGGTGCAGCTGCCGGCAGCAGTCTGCTAACTCTCTCCTCTGCTCAACCCCCACCCCCCACCCCCCTCATTCTCTGTCTATGCTGCTCACCAGTGAATTAGTCCGCTCAGACTCTCGCCTCTTCATCTCGTTCTCCTCCTCTATGTCCTTCTCTCCTTTGGAGCAGACGGAGAAGCATCGACACAGAAACAGAGCCACAGAGGAGCAAAGGAGAAGCCAGAAAACATAGCCTGCTGGGAGCACCACCAGCTTCTGAACATTTACAACGACAACAGATAAACCTACGCGTGAAACAGATGCAAAGCCAGACGGAAGCAACAGATTGCCCCTTAGGTACAACTGTTGCTGCAATTGATGGTGACCCAACGGATCTGAGACGAAGCTGCAATATCTGGATTTGAAGAGACAATTTCTCTGAATGAAAGGAAAGCAGTGGCTCTGCTCAGAGCAGAAGGAACTAACAATGCAAGGTGACAACAGGAGAGATTTTTGATTCATCTGGAAAAGCGACACAGTGAACATCACCTTTACCACAGTCTCCATCACCTCTTCATCCTTTTTCAGACACCAAAGACCACAAGTCGTTTATTTGCACTAAATATATGGAGGATGTGAGTTCAGAGGTATGTTGTGAACCAAAAACGTAAACATCAAGTCCAGGTGTTGTTAAGATGCAGGCAGGAGTCAGCAAGTGATGCCAGTAAATCCACCAGGGAGACCACTTGTGAAGACCAGACCCCAGAGGGTGAAAGATGCATGCAAGTATCTCACTGCAAGCAAAGGCTGGCACAGGTTCTTCTCAAGCAAACACGGCATGAACGTGAAGGAAGTGAGCATCCATTTCTTGCGCCTCTACTTTCCCTTGGATGCTTTTTGCACCTGTGTAGCACACTTCTCTAAAGTCTTCTCACAATTTCCTCTTCCTGAACTCCTGCTTAAAGTGCTATAACTGAATCCGTGCGAAGGTTCTGGTGGGTGTCGGGGTTATTGTCCAGACTCTTGTTTTCGGGGTGAAGTGAATCTGCCGTGGGGGCAGCAGACAGCCGTCCAAGACGCCGCGAGCCGTACTCCGCGTGAAGAATGCCCAGCCGCGCTTGGCCAAGCCGGCCGACCCGGGCCCGACGCCGGGCCTCTACATGGAGAGATCCCAGAGCCGCATCAGCCTCTCAGCGTCCTTTGAGGCCCTGGCCATCTACTTCCCCTGCATGAACTCCTTTGATGAAGACGATGGCGGTGAGTGGAGAAGAGCGCACAGTGAGGTGCTACTTGGTGGCATGAAGGGTAGATCCATTCAGAAAAGGTGGACAAGAGTTCGGCTTACTTTATCTGTGTTCTCAAGTCACATGACTTTAATTGGAGGTTTGATGCTAATATGCAGACATCAATCCAAAAGCTTTAAGGAGTTTGCATGCAACTGCTGCAGGAATTTAACTATTTAGTTAATAAATGCTCTGATCTGATCCTGATTTTATCATTTAAACCACTGCAGCATTTCTGCATCAGGCACACAACACAGTCATACGTCCAACTCTACAGATATACTAAAAGCTTCACATTGATTAAATAGAAATGATAGAATCCAAATATAAAAAAAAAACACAAATAATAATCTTCCTTAGTAACATTAATTTTAAGATATTTAGAAGAAGTTTTGAACTTAAAAAGCAGATGAAAAACCTGTTGATGCTGGATTTTACGGGGATGTAATGTGTTTAGATACGGGCTGGATATTATTACTCCTGATTTCCTGTCAGACTAATCTTGTCTGGAAAACTGCTGCAGTAGATAATCTTTTCAGTGCACTCTGATTGTAAAATATTAAAACATGTTTTATTTAGTGATACAATACACGGATCTTTGAAGTAAAGTTTAAGGTTATTCCGTATTCACATAACATTTCTGTCCAGACTACAGTCCTACCATAAATGCTTCAATATCAGCGAATTGTTTCATTAAAATCACAACTTTGATTGTATTTTATTGGAGTTTCCTTTTTAATCTAGAATCTAAATTGAAGTGGAAGAAAAATTAAGAAAACTTTTCAATGTATTTTTTCCTCCCAAATGGAAAATCTTGAAAATGAGATGTGAAATTTTCTTCAGATTTCCTAAGCTGTTGAAACAACTTCCGCTGCAGCTGCAAATGATCTGGTTCTTAGTAAGATAACAAGAATTAGATTTAGAGTAAAATTTTCTTATTTTAGGCCTCCAACCATAAATGATGTAGGACTTTGCCCTGCAACAGAAGGGTTGTCAGTTCAAGCCCCTGCTCTGGCTCTTAGTGTTGTTGTTTCCTTGAGCAACATGCTTCCCCTACATTTCCTGCATTGTCTGCTGATGGTGGTCAGTGTACGGCAGCCTTGCTTCTGTCGGTGAGCTCCAGGGCAGCTTTGGCTATAATGTAATTTGCCTCCATCAGTGTATGCTTCAATGACTGAATGTAGTGTAAAGCTGACTTGAAAAACTTTTTATTATTTCATTTAAGAAAGTCTTGTCACGGGAAGTTTTTTTCTTCATAGACAGACTTATTTTCGGGGACATTTACTTTTAGATTTGGTGTTTTTTTAGCTTGTTATCTGAGACCTATTTGAAGGTGGAGTCCAAATTATTGTTGACGTGAAAGCCCAGGTATTTGAAACTCTCCACAGTTTCTATGTCCTTTTCCTGGATGTTCACAGGGGAGTTAGGTGAGGGCTTTCTCCTGAAGGCGATTACCATCTCCTTGTTATTTCTGGTGTTAAGACACAAGCAGGCTCGGACTGGTAATCTGTGATACCGGGCATGTCCTAATTTCAGAGTGCAAGGGCCGGCCCGCCTTAAAATTATACCGCCCCAACACTTGATCTCCGTCCAAAGCACCTACCCGTGACAGTACAGTAAATAACTCAAGGAGCTCCATGAGTGGGCCGGTGATGGACACAAGAGAAAATGCACCTAAAAAAAAATTCAGCTTGCAATGAAGGTCAACTAAGCTAATCTGAGTTGCTCTTTAATCATTAGTTCTTTCAGGAATAAGAACCGTCATCCTTGCTCTACCTTTTTGCTCCCTTTAAGCAGAAGATGTCCTAAAACAACAAACACAAACCCGATGACTAAAGGAGGTCAACTTTCTGTAGAGATCTGAGGAAAACAAAAAGCTGCATCCAGTCACTACGGAGCATGCATATTATTTTACTGGTGATTTTCTCTGGTTCGGCTGCTCAGTGGGGCAATGGGTAGCACAGCTGCCTTGCAGCAAGAAGGATCCGGGTGCGGTTCGCGGCCTGGGGTCTTTCTGCATGGAGTTTGCATGTTCTCCCTGAGCATGCGTGGGTCCTCTCCGGTCACTGCAGCTTCCTCCCATAGCCCAAAAACATGACTGCTGGACAGCTGGAGATATGCACCAGCACCCCTTGTGACCCCAGCCATGATAAGCATGATGGAAAAAAGATGGATGAATGGATTTTCTCTTGTTATCGTTATATTCTGAGTTTTCCAGATAGTTTATCATGTTTTATTTTAAAGTTATTGTCTGTTTTCTTGCTGTGTTCCTTTATGGCAACTGAGGCGCATTGCTGCGGCTGATGTTCTCAATAGGGAGACTTATAAAGGTACCCCTCTGTCTCTGTGCTGTCCTCTGTCCAGGATATCTCTGCTGTCAGGAGCAGCATCAATCGGGAAGGGAAGAGTGAGGAAGCTAATTGGTTTTTGCTTTTCTTCTTCATGTGTTTATTGCTGGCAGCTAACAGCATCTGTTATTCCGGCAGATCATTAAACATGATCTTAATTGATTATGATAGGAGTCATGTTAAGGACTTTGTCCTAAAAGTTTTACTTGGAGAGTGATATTACCATGTCGGGAGAAGCATACCTTCCTCCATGCAGGTGACGCTCCATACAGATCTGACAGAAGAGCATGAGATAATCAGAGCGAAGCGGCAGGCCGTGGTTTGTGGCTGTCAGACTAATTAAATGCTAATATGGTGGCTGATTGTGGCTGACTGCAGCTAAATAGAGGCCTGATTGCAGGTTAATTCTCACTCTCCGCCTCTCTAAGTGTCTGTTTGTCAGACTTCAGCTCTCTCCAAGTCTTCTGTCCTCTCTGGTTTGAAAACTCGTTATGCAGGTTAATTCTGTCCTTCCTTCACAAATTGGCTTTAATTGTTTTACCACTTGTTTTCGCTCCACTCCCATTGCTCTCCGTGGTGCCGTTCACGCTTGCCTTAACACCCATCTGGTGTAATATTCAGAAAAAAACCAGACCAGAAGAAAGGCTTTAATGCATCAGACATGACATGAGATGAAGCACCTCTGCTGCCTCCCAGGGAAGCCTGGCAGCTCACAGCTCCATCTGAGCTAAATCTACCAGAAAGAAGCCTTAACCATGAATAAATGATCAAGCACTGCTTTGGAAACTACAAGTTTTAAACTCCCTTCTCTGAATGACCTAAGTAAGTTATTGTTAGGGTTTCTGTCTATTTCATTGTGAAATGTTTTGTATGACCTTCATATAGTGTAGACCTAAACCACACATTAGACCTTCACAGGAAAATGTCCTTTCAACATGCAACACTGAGAGTGGGGCAGGATTTAAATCACAGACATTATAGCCACATGTGATTTATTCCTGAACACATTAGAGCGTCTAACACATCAGTATCCAACCAAACTGTGCCATAAACGTTGCGAGCCTAGTGTTAATTAACTAATGTACAAAAAACATTGAAACCAAAGCAGGTTTTCCAAACTAAAGATATTACATGAGATCAATGGCATAAGACCGGACAGATGGACCCAGTATTCAAGGAGAGTCAGACAAGGGGAAGTTACAAACATTTAATGACAGAAAATAATAAAACAGAACGGGACGTAAGGCCGCAGAGGAAAAGCGGACCGCAGCGTCTGCAGGTGGGGGGTAGGGAACCGCCTAATCAGTGACACTCTCAAGGTAACACTCTCAAGAAGGTAAGATCCAGCCGATGGACTGCCAAACGGGCTGCGGCTCAAAGCCATCCAAAGTGTCCCTAATGCAGCAACCCCAGTGAGGAGGCAGGAGACCGATCCAGGTCAGAGAAACAGTCTAGAACCGGACAGTTCCAAGACCTGGGAGTCCTTAGCCCGAACAGGGGTTCCGATCCGAACAAGAACAGACAGAACCAGGGTTCCAGGAATCCACAGTGCCTTCAGGCAGGTTCAGAGATCTATGAGTCCAGCAGCGAGCTCAGACAGACATGCTCAGAGGAAGACAGGGAGGCTCAGTGGTAGAGAGGAACAAAGACAAGACATGGTACCAGGCTAAATGCAAAACTTTAAACTTGTCTCCCCTCAGCCAAAACCCTGAGGGCTCAGTGGAGAGGAGCCAGGCCGTGATCAGGAGACAGGAGTCAAACATTAAAACCTCTAAATCCACTGGCCACTGGAACATGAACCAGGGACTAAACTAAAACTCATAACAAGCATGAATAAAGGACATGACAACATAACACAAACAACCTAATACACAAATAAACTAAGAATTACAAGAGCAATGATCTGACCCTGATAGCTGGGCTGGGCTGTATATATAGCAGAGGGAGCAGCTGATAAAGATTAATGATAATTAGAAAATGAGGAGGGAACAACAGGTGAATTAATTGAGTAATCAGATCAGCTACCGGGGCTGCGATCAAGACAATCAGAAAAATTATCTCTGGAAGTTTGGAGGTTAAAATATGAGAGTTAACGTTATGTAAATCTTTAAGTACAAATCATAAAGTTATGAGTACGACTTAGAAATAAAAAAAAAAAACGTACCTGCACCTCCCCACAAAGCTGTTATACTCCTTACCTGTTGGTGGCAGTAATGCACCTAATGGTTGTTAAGAAAAGGAAAACAATCATCAAACTTATAGGCTATGTGCTTATTTCCGTCTTCTTCTCAATCAATGGTCGGTGAACAATTTTCATGTGGAAATTTCAAACAATGGGAAGCATAGAGCTATAAACTTGTGATTTGCACTTTTATTGTATTGTAACAAAGTTGTAACATTTTTAACTTCTAAACTGTATGAATGGACTGAAAAAAATAAAATAAAAAATAGGTTGAAATCCTGAAATGTATTTAGGGTAAATAAGTTATTCATATTTGTGAGCTTGCAGCCTTTTTTGATTCAGAGAACGCCTGTTCATAGAAGCCAGAAGTGGTTTGTATGGAGTCCCCATAGTGACAGACAGATAAATCGCTTTATAAGACCTTCTTAATTCAGGTCTCAGATC